CGATAACGTAGGTGCAGGATTCTGGGTATTCCAGAAGTCGGTGGATCGGGCGTGGCGGGAGCGGAGAGTGGTCGGTACATGTGAGGGGCCTCTTCGTATAAGTTATGGATCGAGCGCGTGAAGCCTGGCGGAGAAGCAGCGCGTACGGGGAGCTTGAGACGCATGTCGCTGTCCGGCGGCTGTCCTTCGGGCACGGCGAATCCGTCGGCGGGGTAGTAGATGCCGGGAAGGTCGGTAAAGAACGAACGAGTCGTACCGCCAGCTTCCTCCCGATCGTGAGCGTCCATGGCGAGCCGGGTAGTTTGCGCAATGAGTAAGAAGATCTTGTGGCTGATGTAGAGGACCGCGGTGGGAGTGTGAACGCGTCGTCGCGAAGTGCCGGGGAGAACCTGGTCGTACGCGGCCTTCAGCATGCGGTCTTCCAAGACGGGGTCGTCATGGTTGACAAGCTCGATTTTGTAAGTCAGAGAAGCAGGGTAGAGATCCGAAGGAGGTTCAGGTGTCGCGGGTGCAGATAGCGGGCGGTAAGTCTGGGGTAATTGATTTGATAGGTCGTGGATGATCCTGGGGTAACCGGGCGGCGAGGCGGCGCGAATCGGGACTTTGATGCGTAGGCGGCTATCGGGCGGTTCCGAGAGAGGGACGGCGTACCCTTCGGATGGGTAGTAGAGTCCAGGAAGGCCGGGAAATGCGTCGATAGAGGCGTGTAGTCGAGAGGTTCCGTCGGGTGGGTCGGTCGCGTCGTCGTCGAAGTCGAGTACCGACTGCAGAGCCGTGAGTTCTGAGTCGTCGAGGGGATCCGGATAGGTACGTACCTGGTCGTCGGCCGGTTCCAGGGTCAATCCCCGGACCGTGTCGACGAGGTTAGCGTAGTCCCGCTCGTCGAAGTACAAGCGGGGAGTCAACCCGTCAACACTATATTTATTTAGTAATTCTCCGGGCAGCGGCTGGCGGCTGCTCCGGAGCATCCGTCGGCAGAGTCGAAGATCGTCCGTTGGGACCAGCTCGAGGACGTAAGTCTGAGATTGTTGGTAAGTGTCCGAGTCGGAAGGCGGCGTCGGAGGCGCAGAGAGTGGACGGAAAACGTTAGGAGCATGAGCCGCGAGGTCGTGAACGGATCGAGGAAGGCCTGGCGGAGAAGCGGTTCGGATGGGAAGCTTGACGCGATCCGGTGTCGATGATGGCTGCCCGATGGGCACGGCGAATCCGTTGTCGCGGTAGTATCCTAGCAAGTCCGGGTATGGGTCGAGTCCGCCTTCACGAAGGTGGTCCATAGCTTCTTCAAACCTTTCGCGATGGGCAGCATCTCCGTCCGCGTCGGCGCGCCGGTAAGTGAATCCGACCGAGAGCAGCTGGTAGAGTCCTTCGCTGATGAACATGGTTGGCGTGGAGTCGGAGACTTCATGAGGAGCTTGCGGTTCACCCGGCCCAGGAAGCCGACTCGGTTTGAACGGATTGCCACCGAGACGAGGATCGCTTCTGGGTACGAGTTCGATCCGATAAGTGCAGGACGGCGGATTGTTGAGCGTAGGCGGTTCGGGTGTCGATGGCGCCGAGAGGGGCTTGAAGTAGGCCGGGTCCGCTGCGGAGATCAAGTGAATAGTTCCCGGATAGAACGGCGGCGAGGCAGCACGGATCGGAGCCTTGAAGCGGTTTTCGCTGAAGAGGGGGTCGCCGAGAGGGACGAGACATCCGCCGACGCGGTAGTATCCAGGAAAGTCGTTGTCTTCTTGGAAACCGCCGCTTTCGGTGATGATCGGACGGTAGTGCCGGGCGTCGAGGACATTTCCAGTCTGCGGGTGAGGCGTCGAAGGAAAACGGACCGTGTTGACCTCTGGTGAGTTCAGGAATAGCGCCGCATCGCGCGCAACGTGCGGCTGCGGCGAGAGGATCTTGCGCGTTGAGGATGGGGCCGATTCGGAAAGACGGGTCCAGCCGCCTTCCTCCCTGGCAAAGCGAAGAATTTCGGTTAGTTCGTCTTGTGAAATAGGGACGCGCGAGGCGTACACAAATTCGTTCGTGGTCAGGGAAAATCCTTGGGGTGCCGTGCTGGCGCTGGTCGAGTGCTGGGGCAAGCCGTAGGTCGCGGGCAGAAGAGGCGGCGGAGCATCTGCTTCTTGAGTCGGAGTCGAGAGCGCATCGAGCGCGGGAGTCGCCTGCGAGATCCGGGATGGCGCATGAGACATAGGGAGTGTCGGTTTTGATGCTGAACAGTTTGCGAGCTTTGCGAAGAGTGAGCGAGCTGACTCTTCGACTGGCGGGGAGAGGTGCGTACCGGCGTTTAAGTACTCCTCAAACGGGACCAAGATTGTGTCGGAGGTGTCGCCTGATTGTCGTCGGATACGTCCAGGGCGAGCGGGCACCCGATGGGAGTCTTCGGATTGCGTTACGGCGCATGCGGGTTCGAGTGGAGCCAGTTCTTGAACATGGAGGTCGAATCCTCTGTGGGTCTTGTGTGAAGGCCGCGGGCGAGCTAGAGTCCGAGTTTGGACCTGTAGTGGGTTGAGAGTCGGTTCAGTATCGGGTCGACTTGTGATGAGAGGGTGCGGGCTAAACGGGGCGTACCGAGGTATGGAAGGCGTACCGTTGGAGTGTTGAGGTGCGGTACCGTGCTCGGTTATGTTTGCGTCCTTCCGCGGGCTGCAGGCGCTGCAATCCTTCATAGTAGCGTGTCGATCTGGTCGCGTGTCCTGGGCGTCTGAGAGTGAGGGTCCCTGGTTGATAGGGCGGGGCGAAAAGTCGGTAGGTCGCATCGGCGGTGATTTCCGGCTGGGTGGTCTATAGACGGTTGTCTTATTGCCCGGGCCCGGCGTGTTTGCTCCATGGCTGCCGGGCGGTAAGTCTGCCAGTTCTTGGGTAACGCAGAGCTCGTGCCGAGGGGGTACCATTATCTTGCTGTGATGGAAGCGAAGCCCTTCGATTATTTCGAGATTAGCGTGTGACGGCGATGGTTCGACTGCGCTAGACATACCTGACTCGGTTCCAGAAAGGTACGGCTGCAGCGATCGCGTGAGGACGGAGGTGTAGTGCCGTAAGGAGTCCCGCGCGATCTGATTCTTGTCTGGTGCACATTGCCCGTTCAGGGCCCTGTGCCGAGGTTCCTTCGGATTGCTGACTCGTTGTGATTGGTGCTCGGCGTCGTGGTACCGTGCCGATCGACTGGGATGACCGTCATCTGGCTCGAAAGAGCCTGGGTGAGCCGGTGAGATCACTATTCGTTCAGCCGATAGAGACTTCGGAATAGCGTACCTCGAGCTTCCAATACCCGTCCGATGACCTACCGAGTGAGTCCCCGTTCCTCGCATAGGATTGCGAAGTGGAAAGTCGGAGCGCCGGCTCGACGACGACTCGCCATAGGAGGGCTCGGCTGTCGAGTGTTCGTCAGATCGGTCCGGCGTATTTGTTCCACGCTCGTCGGACCGTGATTCTTCGGAGTCGCTATCGTCCGGTGGGATGGTAATGAAGACGTGCAGAGTCGCGCGAGATCCGTCTGGCGGGTATATGTCCTTTGCGAACGCCGCCGCTATTCGAGTTCTGGGCACGAGTTGTTCAGGATGCTGCATGTATGCGACGAGGTTTGGGGCCTCGGTCCATCGGTCGCGCCGAGAGCGAGTCCGGAACTTTGCTCGGGAAGTATACGGGGACCGAACCTTCAAGGAAACGTCAAAGATCGACGAATTCCTTGACGATCCTGCGGCGTTACTAACCGGACGTCCTTGGCCTAGCTCTCGGGGTTCGCTATCTTCATCGTCGGGTTCGGCTTGGTCGGCTGGTTCGTTTCGGGAGCGGTTTTCGGTGCTGACCGTACGAGTGGACGCGGGGCTGCTGGGAGACCGGCCGTCTAGGATTAGAGGCCGCTGTCGAGTTCTTCCATGTCGTCGGGGTCGTCCATAATGTCTTGGAAGCGTTGGTGAGTCGTCTGGGAGCCTCGTGTTATTGTACTCACCAAGCTTGTCCGCGCCTTGCTCTTCCGGGTGGAGGTGGTGGGTGGTGAGTGGAGAGAGCGCCCGATGAAGGGGCTCCGTGTGGAGGGCTGAGTCGTGGCCTCCACGCCTATCTTTACGTGGGTCGTAGCGTCCGGATTCGGAATCTTGAAGGGTGTCCGGAACGGGCCGGTCTTCGTACATCAAGAGTTCTTGATGTGCCGAGTTCGATTCGAGGGGCGGCGTGCGTTCGGGTGCCGTTCGAGGGTGCGCGAGGGTGAGTAATATCCGAGTTTGCCTATTGTCGAGAGTGGTCAGCGTGACTTCGAAGGCACCGTACGTACCCAGAAGTCGGCGCATTCCCGCCGGGAGATGCGCGAGCGTGTCGGTGAGGGGCGTCCATTGCCCGCCGCGCAAGGGACGGGTGAATAGTCGCGCTTGATAGCGATCATGAAGGTCTAGAAGGAATTCGAAATGGTCAGTAACGGTGGCCAC